ACACACACACACACACACACACACACACACATATATATATATATATATATAAACATATATATATATATATGTATGTGTGTATTTATTTATATAATTTTGTGTGTGTGTATGTATATATACTTATCGGTTACTTCTGTTTTCATTGTCCATCCATGTTTCTTCTACTTGTTATCGGTTACTGATGTTTGTATAATCTATCAATCAGCTTGTTCGTTTTCATTGTCCATCTATCTTTTATATTCTCATTCTCAGTTACTGAAGTTTTTAGGATCTATCTACCATCTTGTGTATAGGTTACTGATATTCTCACTGCCTATCTATCTTTCATATCATCTGTACTATTGTTCACTTATATGTCCTATACCTTTCTCCCTTTTGAACTCATTGGACGCTCTAATGCCACAGGCGAATGCCTTCATGGCGCAGCAGGTGGGTGCGAATCTGAAGGAGCAAGCCTGGGCTACACCAGGTAAGATACAGATACATAATAATCTATATTTAGAATTAACACTGTAGGTATGGCTGTCTCCGTTTATTTGTTTATACGAAGACTTTTCAATGCTCGAAGAACAGCCGTAAATAACGGCATCTGTGTATGGATTTTTGGCATTGCCGTGTGTCAAAGTAGAACCATAATGTCATCAATTAGTAATATTGATTGAAAGCCGCGAAAGGTCCTCGTGTAAAGCTCACTATGTAATTATAGGCGCCTATATGTATATATATATATGTATATACATACATAACGTATACATATATATATATATATATATATATATAAGCTTGATGCATGCATTCCACTTATATATATACACGCAAATGCACATTTTGAAGCGTGAGTGTCTGTTTCTATATCAAACTTACTCTGTTCTCTTCATCGACCATATCATACACACACAAATGCACATACTATATCGCGAGTGTCTATTGCTATAATAAACGTACTATAATCGCTTCACTGATCTTAAACATATACACTCAAATGCACGCCTTAACATACACACACATGTACATATTGTAGCGTGAGTGTCTGTTACTATAACAAACGTACCATAGTCAACTCACTGACCTTCAAAATATACACACAAATGCACACTTTGAGCATGCGAATCTAATACTAACCCACACCCACTATGTTCAATATATTTCTCAGCTGCCATTAAGAAACTCGGGGCTGATTCAGTGACGAATCTTCGAACCGAGTACGCCGCTATCACACGCACTATGACAGTTTACATACGCAATAGCACCACTGAGAATGTCCTGATCCGCCCCGTCAAGGTATATGTATATGTTTGTGGCTATGTGTTTATGTATGTTCGATACTATAGCGTACATGTATTTATTTATACACCCACCCACACACACACACACACACAATATATATATATATATATATACTATTCACACACACACACACACACAC